AAGTTCGCAAACGCGACTGGCCGACCGAAACTCCGGTAGTAACCAAATTAACCGTCGGTAATGTATCGAGGGCGTCGTCGACGGTGATGGTGGCCAGCCAACGCGACCGACCACCACCTATGGGGGTGGTTGCGTCCAGTTATGTTAAAAAGCCTATTAGGGAGCTAACGACGAAAAACAACCCCTCTTTACGCTACATAACTCACGTAGGATGGATATCTGTTTAACGATTTTGCAATTTTTCTACTTATCTATTTTTATTGGAAGTGTCAAAGCTTGAATTTAACAAACGAAGTTTTAATTTCATATTCACGAATTGTTTCTCTGATACTTTATAAAATAATATATTTTATGAAGTAAAAGATTTAGGTTGGATTTTCATGTTACAATTGGCTCGATTATTTTTGTATCATTTTTCTTTCCTTTTTTCTTCCTTTTACATTCAAATTTCACTCCTTTAAGTGTGTTCGCAGTGTTTTATAATCCTATTGTGATTTCTCTCGTATATTTATTATCATGAAAATTAAGAATAAAATTTTTATCAAACTTTAAACCGAATCTAGACTTCATATTTTTAAATTATTCCCACAAAAGTGTGAATTTGCATAAAAATCCTCAATCTAATATTTTATTGAATCTTTAATCATACTGAAATATTACTGAAATAATGAGAATGAAAAGAAGTTTCTAAAAAATTAGAATTTTATGCATCAGTTATATCATTAGCGAAATCAAGATATCAACGTTTTGAAAAATTAAAATTTTGTTATCATGTAGTGGTTGAATTCGAAAGCGATGCTCGCTGATCGAACATGGGATCGCAAATGACAGGGGTGATTATCTTCGGAATCACGCGAGGGATGTTTCGATAAAACGCTCGTTAAGGAGGGGACAATGTCGCGTTGAAAAAAAGAAGGAAAAAAAAAAGCAGCGTCACGCAGAACACGGTGGTTGCACACGCAGAGGTTCACCGCAATTCCACGTGCACCCTCTTTCACTCTTTCTCTCGTCCTCATCGTTTCTCACCCTGAGTGGATCACTGATCGCGTGGCTTTTTCTATTCCACCCTTCCTAACACCCTACACGATTCTAAAAGTGAAACACTGTTATCTGCCATACGTGTTTCACACGGACTCGTATCGCGCCATCGCAACTGATTCTTTTATAAATTTCGATATTCTTCCAATGTGAAACTAAAAACAAAAAAAAAAGAAAAAGAAGAAGAAGAAAAATGAAGAATTAAAGTCTTCGAGTACAGTTTTCTGAAACAAACATTTATACAAAATATATAAACACTTTGAAACACAACATTTATTTTTGTTGTAAAAATTTTGCAAAAATTGTGAAAGATGTAGAATAAAATTTCTCCATTTAAAAACCTATTTTCAAGAAACTACTGTTTGAACAATTTTAGTTAAGAGTGTTCAATGAATTTCCAGATTTGATCTTTAATTTTTTCTGTATAATAATTCAAACACACGCGATATTTGGGAAATATTTTCCAAATATATCCTCTCACTCGAATCAATATTAATACAACAATATTTTAATTAACAACGTTAATAAACTAGTTTCAGCGAACTATTCACTTCAATTTCAATTAAAATTTTTTTTTTTATAAATTTAATTCCAATTCAGTTTCAATCGCGTCTATATAAATTTACAACTTCGTGAGAAACCAGGATCTGCGATTTCCACAGTTTCGTCCGATTTAAAATCAAGTAAAATTCGTAAACTTCCGCCGGTAATACTAATTCACAAGCAAAACTAATTTACAGATCACCCGAAGAAAGCTGCAAACCCCCGTCATCCCTCGTACACACTACGTAACATCGGTCGTAAAACTTTCGTTCTGGAAATTCGAGGAAACGCCTTGCAGTCAGTTAAAACTTCTTCCCTTCCACGACGTCCGTAAGATTACCCCTGGTGAAAGGCAGAAAGAAAGGGAGAAAGTATCGAGGGAATAATGGCGAGTGTCGAGCGTGGCCACACGGTGGTTCACCACGCGAGCTTCTCGTTTTCGAGCGGAGAGAATCGCGTCAGTTTGTTGCAAGTCACGGCATCCTCTATGGCCCCTAACCGTGGCAAACCCTGGTTTTCAACCTATTGGTAGAGTTGGTGGTTCCACGGGCAACTCGGCACACGTAGGTATCACCCTTGGTGCCAGTCGCCGCGGAACCATTAAAAGTCATCCCCAATAACCTCACCCTTTCTTTCCGCGTTCTGCGATTCTCGACGAGCAACGTTTTTCCTACCTTCCCTCCACCCCCC